TTGGTTTGAGTTTGGATTGAATTGTGGAGAGTAAAAACTCCTTTTCTAGCTTTTGAATTTGGATTTCTCGTGGTTTTCCCGACATTGGATCTATATTAATCGTAAGCACTTCTTCTCATTTGTGTGTGATGATGATTTCTTGGGTTGATATGAATGTTTGTGTTGGAATAGTCATGAGTAGCTAATTCAATAGCTAGGGTTAGGGGATAATCGTTCCGGTTCAATTTCATTTATGTGTATGATTAATTGCTCAATCTTTTCGAGTTGTGCTTAACCTAGGGTTTGGATGATTGATCAACTTCTTAATCTATTTAATCGATTTTAGAACTGAAAGGGGAGAAATCGATCGACCTCGGCTCGTTTAGAGTAGGCTTGTTCAGAAATGTATTGCCTATGTGCTAATTGACTTGATGATTGTTTGTTTATGTTTATTCTCTTGTTTCGTGAGATATTGAGGATGAATCTTTAGATGAATTGCTCTTTAACTCTGTTAGCCGAGTAATTGATTCCCGCTAAACGCTTTGAGAACCGGAAACGATTGTCCCCGATACCCTAGTCCCTTTAAATTGTTGGAATTTGTGTTTGAACTGTGAGTTTGGAATTGATTGTCTTGCTTTCATAATTACTTGCTTTCCATTTAGTAGTCGTTAAATCAAACCCTCAATCTTGAATTAGAGTGTTTAGGACTTTCTTTTATCATTTCGTGTGATTGAATATTCGTGCAAAATAATCCGGCTAACCTTCCTCGTGATACGACCCGGTGTCGAATCTTTCGATTTTACTCCGGTAAAAATATTAACAACACTTTCCCTTTCTTTTATTTCTGTTGTTAAATAGAATCTCTCTCTCTCTCTCTCTCTCTTAGCTTTCTTTTAATATATATTGTAGATATATTAAAAAAATACTAGTATTCTTTTATTAGGGCGATGTCAATTTAATACGGTAAAAAAAATTGTTGGAATAATTAATTTTCATCTAAAATTTCAATGGAAAACTCATTCCAATCAGATATTTTGTTAAAATTTTTGCTGGAATCACTTCGATGGAGGTTATACCATTGGAATATCTGTTGAAATTATTTCTACAAGAATATATTACCCTATGATTTTTCGTTGATATATAACAATTTTTTTTGTAGCGATAGATTTGACATTTCCAAATCTTTTCTTCAGTGTACCTTTTTTTCGTGAATATTTATTAAATTATGTTAAAACAATTTGTGTTGAATGAGTTATAAGAAAATTAAAATATTTACAACAAAAAAATAAAACT